GGGGGTCTGAGGGGCGCCGCCATGCCTCGCCCGCGGTGAAGCGCCCGGGCCGTGAGGAGCCGCTCGGTCTCCCCGGTGATGTCCCCCAGGCGGCAGGCGAAAGCCACTCACTCGAGCCCTGGGGTAAAGGCCTAGTTTATTCAGCTTCCTTCCTCCTCCTCCTCCTCTCCCCGTCCCCCTTCTCCTCCTCTCCCCCCTCGGTCCTCCCCGTCTCCTCCCGCACCCTTCCCCGCGCCCCCATCTTCCCTCCCTCCCTCCCACCCCTCCAGCAGCGATGGCAGAGGAACAACAACAGCCGCCGCCACCACAGCCGCCTGATGCCCCTCAGCAGCTTTCCCCCAGCGCCCCCCACCCGGGGGTGGCCCTGCCAGCCCTGGTGCCCGGGCTGCCAGGGACAGAGGCCAGCGCGCTGCAACACAAGATCAAGAACTCCATCTGGTAAGAGGATCCTCCATCGCTGGGGTAAAAAGCCCAGCACATTGCTGCTGCAAAGGGGGTGGGGGGGCGGCGGCGGCTGATGCATTCATTGACTGTGGCTTTCCAGGGGCGAGTGCATATTTATAGGACCTCTGGAGGGGTGGGGACTTTGCATCAGCCCCTGGACTCCTTGCCCCCCCTCCCCCCAAAAAAAGCTGTTACCCCCTTCTCAATTGTGAGAGCACCTCATAAACGAGATTTGTGTTTTTCACCTAGTGTAAGCGAAACATGGGTCGGAATGTAGTCATGCTGCATGATGGGAGCATGGATTTGGGACTGGAAAATGGAAAATGTGTTTACTCCTTTTTGCAGTCTTGGAGAAAGGAGGAGTGTATTGTGATTTTTTCACCAAACAGACAATGTGTGTAGGAATATTAATATGCAGCACAAAACCTAATGTGCCGCTTCCTCTCAGTAACCCCTGCTGTTTCTGGAGGGTTTGGGGCTCCTTTATTCGAAGATTAAATTGCCCTTCTCCAGATACCGTAGACACTGCATGAATTGTGAATAAAGTGCTTTTTTCTAAGAATGAGGATATTTTATTTGAAGGTGGTGGTTGGTAGTATGGAGTGATTTTTGAGAATAAAAAAAAATGTCTTGCCACTGGGTGCCTTTTTTTAGAAGCAGTAGATGACATATCATTTGCTATTCCTGGACTTTCTAGCATGAGAATTTCCAATATTTCAGCGTTATACTGAACGCTCTTGCAGGCTGATGGCAGCCTTTTAATAATTAAATACACGGAGTTAAGTCCATCCTCTGTTTGAGCGGTTGAAAATACTGCTTTGAACATGAACTTGAGTGCATTGTTTTGTGGGATTCTTCCCTGACACTTTTACAAAGTGTAGTCCTTTTTCAAAAATGGGAAGCAGTGTTAGAATTTGATGTAAGAGATTGCTTTTAGTGGACATTAAAAATTAGAATTTAAGTGTGGTGTGTAAACAAAGCTCAGATTTGAAAATGAAATCCTGCAGGTCCATCATTGAAAATGACTTCTGACATATCAAAACTCCATATTTTTATTACATTCTAATCCTAAAAGTTCTGCATATTTAGACCTTAAAAAAGCAGTACCTGTTTAATGCAAAGTTAAGGCTCATGGAGTGATTTTCATTATTTTCTTGGCATGCATCCATGTTGTCATGATTCTAATATGAAGTAGGTCAATGCAGGCTTTAATAGTTTCATACAACATAGTAGTTGGCAATTCAATAGCTTGCTTTCAGTCTTAAATTTAAACTGAAGTTTAGATATTTTAGAGTAGCTTTTTGGGGGGTGGGGGGCTTTGACAAGGCATGTTCTGGCAACTTTGAGTAGGTCAGGTAAGTAAAATTCTGTCTGTGTGTTTGTGTAAAAGGCACTTATTCTTCAGGTGGACACCCCCCCCAAACTTTGTTTTAAAGCTGTAATTTAAGAGAAGCTTAATTTCCTGCTTACCTTCAGGGTTGCCACAAAACCAAAGTGTTACTTTTTTTTTTCTCTTACTAACATAATGTAATTTAGTGTCCATGAGATTGAAGTAATTACCTTGCTTTCTGCATCTTTAAGAAAGGGAAATTCTAAAAGTTTCATAATGTGTATTGTAGTATTATGTGAACAACAGGGCAAAGGCACCTTCATTTCCATTTCTCAAGAGGGAACTGTGAGGCAACTAGGTGAATTTGAATATAATGCTAGTGAAATGTTCTTTCTGATAGATTATATGATTTAATTGTGCTACCATTGATAGTTTATATTTACACACGCATTGCATCTTAAATGCAGTGGCTTTAATCTAGAAATACTTATCCTGAAGTAGAGTGGACTTCAATTTTGGGCACTTGCTCTAAAACAAGAATGAATGGACAGTAAACATCTTGATTCCCAAATATGCAATTTATATATTTATATTTTAAAATGGAATATGAGTTATTAGCATTTAATTTTCAACACTGGAAATGCTATTTGCAAAAAATGATTTCATATTTAAAACTTGAGAACAAATAATATTAGTGGTTATATTTAATATATTGTTATGCTTTCTGCTCCCCAAGACTAGGTTTATATTATTCACCAAGTGACAATATAAAACATATTGAAGTGGGAAAATTCCTTTATTACTATTTTGTCCTAAGATATGGAATATCTCTATTAAATTAAAACATTCTGAAGAGATAAGATTACAACTCCTTGAGTATCTCATTTTGCATATTTTGAGGCAATACCATTTTACCAAATACGTTGTTCTTGTTAACCAGGAATTGGTTCCAGCTCATAACATACTCATGAACAGGATGAAACCCTGCCAAGTCCTGCATCATCCTCACGGTTGTTGCTACGTCTCAGTCCATTATTGCAGCCACTGACTGTCAATCCATTTGGTGGAGCGTCTTCCTCCTTTTTGCCGACCTACCCAACATGCCTAGCTTCAGGGACTGGTCCTTCCTAGTAACATGTCCAGAGTACACAAGGAAAACCTTGCCATTCTCGCTTCTAAGATATTTTAACACCTGATGTGTTCAAGGAAATTATTAATGTTATAGTACTTTCTATATCATCCTTTGGTACCACTATTAAGTTTTAATTACATTAGAAAGAAATGTGGCATTTAAAAATTAACAGATGGGTTTTGCATTTAGCTTGATCACAGTTTTTAAATTACTCGACTTGTGGGTTACAAACAAGTCTGTACTTGTCCTCGTACAGGACAAATATAGTATGTGGTGTAGGCCTTTAGCTGGACAATGAGATACTTATTATCGTAGTTAATAATTAATTTATTCTGTTTATTAAATTAAAATGCAATCTGATAAAAGTATGTCCATTGTAATTTCAAGCATTAATTGTGCCTTTGAAAAAGAATAGAAACCATGGCACTTAACTGAGATAGGAAATACTGTTTCTTAAGAGTTGGAATGTAATACATTTTTAAGGTATTTCTAGGAAAATAGTTTAATCACTCTTTAATATTAGTATAATCTATTTTTTCATACCTTCAACTTAAGTCCAGCTTAAGCAACGATGGGCTCAAACATAACTACGAATGTGAGGATGGCGCAGGACCAGTGTTTTAATCTGTTGTACATAAATAAATAAGGTCGCTATGAGTCGGCACCAACTTGGCATGAATTAACAACAGGCAGCTCAGGTTAACAAGCCTGTACCTTTCCTGACCACCCTCATTCTTACACACTCACATACCTCACTTAGGAGCCTCATTTATAGAGGTAGGTTTAATACTGAATATCTTCCGAGAAGGAGTCCTTTGCCATAATGGGATTAAGATTTGGCCTGCTAACCTCAAGTTGGTGGTTCAAACCTACCGTGGGAGAAAGAGGAGAGTTTCTGTTCCTGTGAAGAATTACAGTCTTGGAAACCCTACGGAGCTCCATTCTGCTGTGCTGTAAAGGGTCATTATGATGATGCCATCAATCAGCCCGATGGCAGTGGGTTTGGTTTAGCTTGGTGTATCACATAAGAATGTTACTTGTCTTTTATAAACAGCATTGTAACAAACATCTTTATTTAAGGAAAGCTAGTAGCCCATGCTTCTTCTAAAAAAGACTCATAAAACCTAAAACAAAGCCATGACCTACCTTCTGAACCACTGAAACACTTCTTAAACTTACATCAAAGTAAGTTTTCCCTTCCTTCTGTGTCCCAGTATTTTCATAGTAAAAACATTAAAAATGAAAGACAATTAACTTCATTTAGACAGAAAGATTGTGCTTTTCTTTCCCTTTTAAAGCAGTTTTATTAGAAGTCCTTATAGAGAACATTTACTATACAAAAAAGAAAAATAGACAAATATTGTATTTACTATACAAAAGAGACAAATAACAAAAGAAAAAAAGACAATAAATTTTTATCTAGATGTTCAGAAGAAACCAAATGTGTTGTAGAAAATATCCTAATTATTTACTCAACAGACAAATTCAGGGATCAAAAATAAATCAGTTAACAATCGCTATTTTTGTTTATGTAACTTGCTCATTTCCTTTCAAGCTTTCTTAAAACAGTCTTACAAGATGTCTCCATTTTAGGAAAATTTGTAAACTGACTGAAGGGAAGCTATCAGACTTTCTGAGCCTGACTTTTCAGACTCTAGCAGTAGTAGCACTGGAACCACAGTTCCTTCTCTTCATCATTTCTGTAGGGCATGTTGTTGTGCCAGTGAGTCAGGTCCGATTCCTGGTGGCCCTACAGGGCCGAGTAGAAACGTCCCATAGGATTTCCGCAGTTGGCGTCTCTATAAGAACAGACTGTTACATCTTTGTCTCGTGGAGTGGCTGGTGGATTTTGAGCGCTCACCTTTTGGTTGACAGCTAAGCACATTAACCAATGCCATGTCAAGGCTGCTTCTAGACGACATGCAGATTTCTGAATTGTTTTGATTTATAATCAAAGAATACATATATGTGTATGTGGACCATTTTAGGTCTTTATAAATTCTAAATTTAAGCAAAGTTGTGTAATTTTGTTTACTTTTTTTTATGACTGTAAACATCTCGTTTGCATCTTAGTTGTAGTGGCCAGTGTATGGTGATCCATAGGTTTACATAGCAATGCTATGTTAGTCCCGGGTTTCACCCCAAACCCTAGAATTCAGTAGCTGTGTTATATCCATGGTTATAGCTCAGGAAATTTATTAACTCTGAGAAACAATTGTTATTCCTTTAGTTGAAATAGGAGCTGTTAATTAGATAGCTTATAACTTTAGAAATAATTTTAACTATAAGTCTATGATCATCCTTTTTCTTTTAAAATGGAGAATGAGAATGAGGGCAAAAATGTACAAATGCGCTTTACACAGTTGATGTGTGTATGGATTGTGATAAGAGTTGTATGAGCCCCTAATAAAATGATTGAAAAAATAATAATAAAATGGAGAATGAGCAGTACATTAATTGGCATTTGTATGTTTTTGGTTAATTGGTTGACATACCACCAACCCTGAGTTCAGCCTCAGGTTAGGAGGTATG